ATTTGATTCAAGGAATTTTTGAATTTCATTTTTTATTTCTCCCTTCCCCAGTCTTTCATGAGGAGAGTGTTGTTCACTTTCCATGTATTTGCTCTTTTTTCATTTATCTTCCTATTGTTTATTTTTTATTTGATTGCATTGTGATCTGAGAAGATGGTTTTCAGTATTTCAGTGTTCTAAAATTTATAAAGGCTTGTCTCCTTGTAGTTTTGATTTGCATTGCTGTGATGGCTGATGATGTTCAGCATCTTTTCATGTGTTCTGTTGGCCATTTGAATATCCTCTTTGATTGAGATGTCTGTTCATGTCCTTTACCCAGTTTTTGATTGGGTAATTTGTCTTTTTGTTGTTAAGTTGTAGAAGTTTTCTATATATTTTAGATGCTAGATTGGTTATACCATTCCATACTTAAGTTTTATGTTTAAATTTTTAAAAAAATGTTAATAAGCTGCATGGAAGTTTTCTCCACAGTTAGTTTGTATTCCTATGGATGAATATTTATTATTAAGAAGATGAGGTAGGGCTCACTAGCCCTAATGTCATTTTTTCGTAGCATAGATTTTAAGCACTGGGAAAATTTACTTAGCAGGTGAGAATGGAAAGACTTTTGTAATAGCATATCACAGTTCTTTGAACTTAAACAGTACTGTGTCATTTGCCAAAAATCACATAGTATTCTGTCACCAGAAGTTATTTTTAATGATCAGCTGACAACATGTTTAGCTCCTCCGTCAGTTTTGTTGAATGTAACGAATTGGGAACCACTGGACTTGTAGAATAAAATTTCTTACTAAATTATTAATTATTAGTTATTCACATTCTTACTTTTTAAATTTTTTATTATTTTTGCAGTGTTTCCTCCCTCCCCCACTTTCTTACTTCAAAACAATATTTGGAATTGTGCCTTTGGTTAGTGCCCCCAGGGATTATTTCACTCAGGATATTGTACCATGTTGAAGTAGGATAAGTATGAAAGGTGCTTTTGTTTGGTACAGTGGAAGTGGATTGGTACAAAGGGGTAAGAGAATCAACTTAGAAGCCTGGCAGATCCACTGTAGGAAATATAGTACACATGGATATTGATGATTTTGGAAAGTGATTTCCTTTCAGTTGTCAATGCCAGGGAAACCCTCAGTATGTCTGTACATATTCCAGGGTTACATGTACCGATTTTGAAGACTTCTGCCTTTTAATGCATTGTTCCTATAAGTTGCTTCTAGCCACATCTTTCTCTTTCTGTTCCATTCCCACCTGTTCTGCTGCTGTGGGGTACTTTCAACTGAAGAGGGTTCACTCAACTCTTCCTGCTCTTAATTATGAAATTATGAGATTGAACTTTCTTATTTTGACCTAAGATTTGCCTCCTGGCTATCCTGCCTTGAATTAACATAAACAAATCATGTCAATTGGTGCTTATAATGTACTTTCATGGTTTAAAACCCACAACTGTGAGTTATCAAAAATTACTGGCCAAACAGTGTTCGGTATAAGTAATTTAATGTGCTATTTTTAATTACTCTTAAATCAAAATTATGGTCAACCTAAATGATACTTAAGTTTTCATTTGTAATTGGCATCAAATAGAAAAGCTAATCAAGAAATCCTTATAGGCCTTCTTAGCTTGAGTTATCCCAAAATTTATTTAGAATCTAAATAATGGCGTTTTTCCATGTAATTGGTTATCACTTAAGTAATAACAGTAAATCCATTTCTGTTCACTCTAGATATATGGTGCAGTGGCCGGGAGTGCGGATACTGCGTCGCCAGGAACTTGATGCCTTCCTGGCTCAGGCGTTATCCCCCAAACTTTATGAGCCTGATCAGCTCCAGGAGCTTAAGGTAATTTTTAAGCCTAATTTTACTGTCTCGGGAAGTCTTGCTTTGGATTTCAGTGTAAAACAGCTAATCTTTACCAGGCAGTCAGTATTGCTCAGTGCTAGGGCATATTCCTTTCTAGTTATGGATTTGGCATCCCCCCAATTGGAAATTATTAATTTCACCTTTTCAGATAAATATTTACCCTTGTTTACCAGTGGATGTTTATTCTTGTTTTTCATGACAGGAAATAAATGTGCATTTTTTTTATTTTAGGAGGTGACTCCAAACCCTGGGAGGGCTTGATAATAAGAGTTTTCTGACATCTAACCAGGATTCTTTTTCTTATTTCATTCCATTGTTCCTAATTACAACTTTAGTTTTCTCTAAAAAATATTCTTTTCACTTTTAGTATTGTAATATCCCTTTAAAAAAAAAAAAAAAAAAACACTTGAAGAACAATGTTACGCCATCATCCCTATGCCCCTTGTGGTCAGCATTTAATATCATATTCCTTTTAATTTTCCCTTCTAATAATTCCTTTTGTTCTCTCATTATTTTGATAATTTTCTTCTTGTTGTTACGTAATTTTTTAGTATTAGTTGCTGTGTTCACATAGTTGTAATTGCTTTTTACTTTCTGTACTAAATATTAGAAAGTTTAAGACTTTTTCATAGTTAGCTAACTTAGTGGATCTGCCATTTCTTTTTAACTTGTTTGGAGGTTTTCCTTTTTGTATTTTCCCTTAGTTATTTACTTATTTTTTCAAAATTTGACTTGTTATCAAATAATCTATTTTGATAAAATTGCCTTCACTTTAGATCTTTATATTGTTCTTGACGAAGGCATTCTTTCTCCACAGAGGAGTTTTAGGTTTGCTTTACAGACTTTCGGTATTGTAAATTTAGTGCTCTCCTAAATTATTTTGGTAAATTTCATAATTTGTTGAATCTCCTCAGCTGTATGGAGCTTAAGTCATTTTTGGTCACCATTAGTCTTCCTGATAAATTTGAGACAAGCTAAATTTTAAAAAGAAAGGCAAAAAGTATATATAAAACTTAGGGTAAATGTGAATTCACCTTAAATTGTAGTTTTTACTCTGTGATCAAGCTTTTCTGTTTGTAAGATAGAAATTATTTATTTTTCTTTTATTTCATATGTTTGAATTTAAATTTGTGTTTGTTTTAAAATGTTTGGTCAGGTTTTTCGTACAACACAGAACGACAGAGACTAAGTACAGGTTCTCATTCCTTGTGTTCTTACCCAGATTGTTTCACCACCACCGTCTTCATTACCAGATTGTGCTTTCAAGGGTGTTGTAAATACTTTTATTATAGTGTGGTGCCATCCCTCTACCTCTACTTCCTGTTTCTCTTATATAGATTTTTACATCAGTATTGACATCCCAGTTCTGAGAATCAGACCACCAGGTATCAGGTATGCCCACTAAGCCTTATTCACCATCAAGTTACTTTGACTCAAAGTTCATCTTATATCCCATATTCCTTTCATTTTTGGATCAACACATAGGGTATAACTTTTGAAAGAGAATCACACTCTAAGCTTTCATTTTGGTTCTTTTGAGATCTTAGTACTTTCATGGTTTTCCCCTGATTCTTCATCTAATGCTAGACATTTCTAGAGACGTATTTAGAAAGATATATTTTATGTATAGTTTACTTCAATCATCATTTCTTTGGGCCTTGCTTATCTGGCAGTCTTTAATTAAGGACAACCTACACCTTTATGTGCTTCATGTTCATTTTTATAATTCTGAGAAAGCTGTAAGGAAAACTAATATTTGGGAGGGAGAAAGAGGTAGGTTTTTTTGTTTGTTGGGTTTTTTTAGGTTTTGTTGGTTGTTTTTTTTTAAAGATTGACGATCCCCTCAGCTATCAGATTGAGCATTGGTAGGAATAATCATTATTTAAATACTACTAAAATTTCTGTGCAGAGCTGAGGGTTGCAAAATTCCAATGATAGAAAAATGAATTTTGAAATTTCTTTTTTTGTTCAAACTTAAAAAAATACATATATATACATTTCACTGTTTATGATATAGTCAACTCTTGATTTTGTTGTTGTTGTTTAGGAGCCCATGTCCAGTTTGTGGATTGCCCAAACTCTGTTTTTCTTCTCCTATTTATTGTCTACTATGTCATTATAAGCATTGCCATCAAAGGAGAAGAGACAGAAAAGACTAATTCTGACAGTTTGGACACTTTTTAGCTTTTCTGATGGGAAAAGATGTTGAGACCACAAAAATGAATTTTTAAGAATTTAATTTCATCTGTACTTGCTCCATCAACAATTTCCATGAATAATTGAGAGTGTACTGTGTAGTTACTTGAATACCTCTGACAATGATTGATGGGCATCATTTTTTTCCTCTTATATTTTTTAAGAGCTTCTCCTAGGTTACCAGCATGAATATAACTATTACTGTAAAATTAGCATTGACCCTTTGTTTTGGGGGGAGGGGTTAAAGGATGAGGAGAAGAATCTTTGTACAGTTATAATACTTGTCCAGTTTCTTTCTCCTTTGCTCTTGACATCCCGTAATTGCCTTAAATTCTTTTAACAGTTTCACATGCCAAGTGCAGAATATAAAAGATGGAAAATGAAGAGCTTTAAAGACAGTATTAGGGGCGTGCAACATGTCTGTGATACCTGTAAGAATTATTTTGCATATAGGTAAATATGACAAATTAAAGTAAGAGTCTATTGCCCAGTAATTAGAAATTGAACAAAGTAACTGCACTGAAAATTTCTTTTTTTTGGCTAATTGGGTCAAAATTACATTTCATATTTGTATTTCCTATAAAGTCAGAATTTTTGTTTTTGTTTCTCTAGTTGAGGAACCTTGGATAATGTTGAATATTTTATCTTAATTGCTATTAAGAGAATGAGTTTAGAATTTGAGTATTATAGCTATTTCTACAATCAAGACTTCAGATTCTGAATCTACCAGTTACCAGTTTAGTGGCCTCGAGTGCTCAGTGATTTAGTGTCTTCATCTCTAAATTGAAGTATTAATAATAAATGTATCATAACACTACTGAGAGAAGTAAATGAGATAGTTCATGTAAAAACACTTAGTGTCTGGTACATGTTTGTTTAGTGCCTCAGAAATATTAGATATATTGTCTGTATAATTAACACTTTCAAAAAAAATTTAAAAATCTCATTGCCATGGGTCAAACTAACTCATAGTGAACCCCATTGAGGTTTCCAGGGCTGTAAATCTTTACTGGAGCAGACTGCCTCCTTGGAGCAGCTGGTGAGTTCGTACCACCAACCTTTTGGTTAACAGCAAAATGCCTTAACCACTACACCACCAGACAGAGCTCCTTAATTAACACTTAAGGAAAGAAATATTTAAAAAGTATAAGACACTGTAATGTAATCTTTTTTTTTTTTCAATTCTAGAGGGAGGCAAAGTCTACATGCCAATTGAGAATTATTCACATTGCTTAAAAATAGCTATTTGGCTATTTGGAAGCGTTTTCTCTGTTAAATGAGTAGTGGTTGTTAGTACTAAAATTGTTTTGAAACTGTAAAAATAATTTTTAATCCCATAAAAGCACAGTTCCTCAATCAATGTCACTTAAAGTGTGTATGTGAGTATACCTCTGTGTGTGTGTGTGTGTGTCTGTGTGTGTGAAGAATCTATACTTTTTCCATTCCTCCCATCAGCAAATTTGGATAGTGATAGTCTTAACTAGGGTGCTTCTTTGTTCTAAAGTATTTGCTTTTGTTTCTTAAACTTAGTGTATAGATAGCTCTTTGATCATAAAATGGCTTTGAGGTATCTTCATCAAATCAGTGAGTATGTATATAACAGACAATAACCAGTTAGATGCTGCTTCATATTTTAATAAAAGGAAGTTTTTAGCATTTTTGTTGAAATATTTGAACAGAAAACATCTTTACAGTAATATCAGTTTAGTCATTTCCTTTTATTAATGCTTGGTCCATATTCTCCATCATTCTCTGTGAGATGAGGTGTTGGGGGTAGAGTTGGAGGAGGAGACTGGAGATTGAGAGTCTTGGGGTCAGCCCCTGGTCCTACCGCTATCAGCCTCTGTACCTGTAATGAAGCAGTAGGTCTCTCAGCCTACCTACCGTGGTCCCAGCTTACAGTCATGTGAGACAGCGAGTCTCACCTACCTGGAAGGAACTACTGTTACCGCTCCTATTAAGAGAAAGCCCAGAGGCCCAAAGAAGAACACAGATACTGATGCTCCTGGCATGTTGGGGAGGATAGGTGGGGTTGGATCCTGTGGGGCAGCCTAGGTTTATTTCCTGACCTTCCCCTTGAACTCACATACTAGTCTTGCTGCTTGTAAGACAAAAGGGTAGAGAGCTATGGGAGAGAATAAGACACCCTCTCTCTGCCTTAAGATTTTATACTAAGAGAAGAAGAAAATTTATTTTTACGCCTCACAAACAGGGAAGAGCTACCTGGAATCTAAGTAAATCAAAGGGAATTACTGTTTTTAAATTTTGTTCCAGTCTGACCTCTTTCTCCACTTTCTGCTCATAAATTTAAAAAACCATCTAATTCCATCACCACAACTCCCACCTGCCCTTAACTGACAGGGTTTTTTTTTTTGTTTTTTTTTAAGTAACTTCTCAGCAGCTGTATGGGAAAAATAGCAGCCACTACTGTATAAAGGTTTGAGGGGTTATAAATAGACAGTGTTTATAAGTTTGTGAACAAGCTTCTCCAGATTTTGGAAGTACTTAACTGCATTAACTTTAAAAACAAAGTGTTAACTGGTAATAGGGAACGTTGACCCAGACAGCACAAAACAGCAGAGAGTCACAGATTGATTCCTGTTTGACATTACAATCTTTTTTCTTTTTAATGAAAAGCCAGTTTGCTTGCCACAACTAGGCATTGCTTAGATAAAACTTCATAAAGGTAGCATTCTTGAGATGCTTTCATCTTAGAAAATAAGTGTGCAAAGTGGGAAGACAGAAACCAGAATAGTTAAAACTTTGCCCCGGATAATCCACAAACTAGGTCCTTCATGTATAGATAATCAAGAGTTGACTGTATTTCTTTCTGTTAGCACTTATTATCTTGCTCATAATATGTTAGGAGAGGGGGTTAAATGAAAGGAAGACACTTAGCACTCATTACTGAGTCAAAAAGAACCGTGAAATAGAAATTTATGCTGGTTTACAATATAATGCATCATTCAAGGATAATATTTTTGTTATTGCGTTCTTTCATTTATAAGCTGTTCATTTCTCCTAAAACATTTTGGCAGTCTCATTAATAAGTTGCTATCTTAAACATTAACATGTAAAATAATACACAGTTTTATTTTAGAATGTAACTATACAAAATAATCTTTTAACATAACTACTTGAAAAATGAAAAATCTTAAAGAGTGCTCCTTTTTACAACCTTTGTGTTAATATTAAATTGCCAGTGTTTAGAATCTGAAGTGTAGAAATTTTAAGTGAATTGTGGGATTTTTAACTGCTACTTCTACTTAAAAATTTATTACTTTGTTGTGCATCAACTTTAAATACAGTATTACTTTAACTTTTGTAAAACTTTCCAAATTCCAAATAGAAATATGCCAGTAAGCATTCTCTTAAATATGAATTTATATGACATTACGTAGTACTTCTGTCCAAATAAGATAAATGCTAGATCAGTGTAAAGTAATGGTAGAACTACTACTTAGTGGTGCTGTTTTGTTGAGGAACAGTCTCTATTAAACTTGGAGAGTTGTAATGAAAATTTGGAAGAATTAAATACTGTAGTACTCTTATTCCATATAAATTACTTTTTTCAATTTAAAGATTGAGAACCTAGATCCCCGTGGAATTCAGTTGTCAGCTCTGTTTATGAGTGGAGTGGACATGGCCCTGTTTGCAAATGATGCCTGCGGGCAGCCAATCCCATGGGAACACTGCTGTCCTTGGATGTACTTCGATGGCAAGCTCTTCCAGTCCAAACTCCTCAAAGCCAGCCGGGAAAAGACCCCGCTCATTGACCTCTGTGATGGTCAGGTATGCTATGGAAGCACAGTACCTGTGTAAGCTTAGAGCTCAATTTGTCATTTGGAACTCATGGGACACAGAGGAGACAGATGGCCAACCTGTCCCTGTTCGCTTTTATGAAGAAATAAAGCTCATCAGCGTATTTATAATGAAACTTATGACGATGAGTCTGTTTTAGAATGGGCCCTGCCCAGTGTGTATCTAAATACCAGTTCAGTGGCCATGATGAGCCAGGCTCTGGATATGCTATTTAAAAAATTCTAGTTCAAAAATAAAGTACATTTGGTGATACTGATACTATCTGCACTGTATAAAGGGACTCACAGTTGCTCAAGTTTTTTAAACCTTAGACTCTTAACTATAAAACTTATGTTCTTCCCACTGTGCAGCCATGCCCTAAGTAAAGGTCCATCTAAGGACATATGTTCTAATTACTCAAAAGAATCAAATGTCAGTGTTCTCTGATTAAAGAATGGGTTCTGTTACATGTATTTATTAATAAAGGACACTCGGTTGAATGCATAAATTTCATTGACCACACTTAGGCAAGTTACAGTTTTTTTTTAAACATACTGTAACTAATATATGAAGGGCCAAAGTCATTTCACAGGCAGGCGACAGAGATGAGGTCAGGTAGGTTATCATGTAGTCTTAGTCATGAAAACCTCCAGGCTTTCCCTTGGCTTTCTCATTTGTAAAGTACAATAGTTACCTGACCTAAGCATTTAGAACTGATAGGAAAATAAAATTTTTAAATGTGAGATGTACATTGACAGTGAAGTATTAATGTAATGTAAGAAATGCTAACAGAAATGAAGGCTGCAAAGTTTTCTCTGTGTGGATTTAGTCATTTGAGTTTTAAGAACCAGATACATTTTCATGTAAAAAAATTTTAAATTGTTCTTAACCCAAGATATCCTGAGAAATTAGAAATTTTAAGTTCATATTTGCTTATAAAGTTAAAACCAAAACCAAAAACCAAACTCACTACCATCAAATCAATTCTGATTAATAGTGAACCCCATTGGGTTTAAATCTTTGCAGAAGCAAACTGCCTCATCTTTGTTCTGCGGAGCAGCTGATGGGTTGGAACCATTCACCTTTTTGGTTAGCAGCCAAGTGCCTTAACCATTACACCATGAGAGGTCCTTTATAAGGTTAAAAAGTATCTATTAATTTTCTTGGATTTTTGCTTTTGTGATTATCTTTGCATCCTATAAACAGGTATTACTGAACATGGTATAACTGTATTATTTATGGGTAAATAAGTCAATATGTTTCAGCGATTGATATATCTTACTTTTTTATTGTTCATTTCCATCGGATTAAAATATTCTGAGTCAAGTTTTTCACATACTGGTCCCTTGATTTGTAGGCTGAGCAAGCTGCCAAGGTTGAAAAGATGCGTCAGAGCATTTTAGAGGGGTTAAACTTCTCCCGGCAGAACCACCCACTTCCTTTTCCACCACCTCCTGCTCTGCCCTTCTACCCAGCTTCCATGTATCCTCGGCACTTTGGGCCAGTCCCACCATCTCAGGGCAGGGGCAGAGGTTTTACAGGTAAGTTGTATCAGTTATTGTAGTGATATATACATGTGGGGAAAAAAGTAGTTTGTAGTACTTTTTAATTGAGCCAATCTTGAGACCTTGAAATTGTCATTCTTGGTTATGAAGTTTACAACAACAAATTCCTCAAACTAGAAAGAAGCAGATGAGATCTCTGAAGAGAATGTGGGAAAGAGATGAGTCTACAAAAGCTGTTGCAGAGGCTGGATTTTAAAATTTGTCAGTATAGCTGAAAAAAATCTCTGCTTGCTTTTTTTCATTTAAGGTATTGTCTCATGTTTGAGGGAAAGTAAAGCCATCAAGGTCAAAGAAACCCTTTTCTATTGGCTATCTTCCAGGGCCAGTCATTGAATACACCATGTTAGTACCCTATTCATAAGAAAAACCTCTCCCTGGATGGGGGAAGTGGCACTCTGGAATTGTTCCTATCCAAACTATTATTGTAGGACTGTTTAACATGGTTATGAGAAGGGCCAGTAAATCCCCTCTTCTTGGCATTGTTGTAGTATGAAAATAAAAACTGATTTGAAAAGAGGTCACTCTGACGTAAAGCTCAGCAGTGACTGTCCCCTCAGGAAAAATTAACCCCCTGTACCCAGTCCCCTCATGGCCTCTCCCCTGTCTCTCTCTACCCTGGATCTAACAGGAGTCTGTGGCTTTGGAGGCCCTTACGGGGAAACTGTAGCAACAGGCGCTTACCGTGCCTTCCGGGTGGCAGCAGCAGGACATTCCGGAGCCTTCTCGGGCAATGACAGCAGCAGGACTAGCAAGTTACAGGGCGGTAATTATACCCAAACCTTCTCCTAGAGCTTTTGCCTGGCAACAGCTTCTTTCACTGCATAATCTGGCTCCTAACTCTCATTTCGTTTCTTCCTTTAATTGTCCTTAAAAGCCACATTCTCCAGTATATTATTCTTTCTTCTAGGTCCCTGCTCTGACATTCATTGACTGCTCCTTATTCTCTTAGTCTCTGTCTGTTCTCAGGTCTCTGCAGCAGCTTTGCTGTGGCCAGTCTCTGCCTTTCAGTGTAGGTCAATGTGTGTCCACATAGAAAAGAGCCTTTCTGTGGACTTAGGTGACACAGCCATTGGCTCACGTTAATAGAATGAGTTGCTGAATAATACTCAGTGACATTTCTTTCCTATTTTCTCAAATAGCCACCTTTTGGTAAAGATTATTATGATTGCATAGAAGATTTTAATGCTGTAGTAGAATTGCTGGCATAAAAAGGTCTATTTTAGTCACAGTTTGTTTCATGGAAGAATTTCTAAGGAAAGAACTAATATTAGATATATAAATTAGTGACTCGATTTTAAATTCGTATTGCTGCTCTTCTCATTTGCAATAGGTTTGCAAAGGAAAACAAAAATCTGGCATTTAACTTTTGAAATAATGTCTTATGAATTTGCTGTCAGTTGAAGCCTATAATGTATGGCTTTATCATAATCCAATATTTTGGAACTGCAGATCTAAAACTGATGAGGAAGTCCATAGTACAAGGGTTATTCAAATGAATTTTTTAATAACTTTTAGGGTTGGCAGGCTCTGCTCTGTTGACCAGGAGTGTTTTTCCGATTCAGTTATTTGGAGTACTTACTAAGGCTAGCAAGAGATGTCTTTTGTAGAAATAAGATTCTTAAATATTTAATGATAAGTGCGGTCATCTTTCTATCTATAGGGTGCAAAAGTCATTTATTGTTTCCCTTTTGCAATTGCATGCCCATTTCTTGCCTACTATTTGTCCTCCTGTCCAGCCTACTACAGGAGTGTTTTTCTGACCTCTGACTATGCATTGAGCAACTCGCAGTCATGTGTACTATGTCTTTCTTAATTTGCTTCGATTCCTTTTAATGCCTTTCCTTGAAACAAGAGATACCTTGTAGTTGGGATAAAAGATCAAAGGAGAGGGGGGCATTTTAGTATGGACAGTTTAGGAAAAGAAATAATTTCTTAAAACTGAAATGACAAGAGGAAATTACTTCCTAACTTTCCTAAAATTGTTTCTGAAACTCAGATCTATGCTGTTTAGTAGCCACATACTATGTGGCTAGGCCAAGTAGCGATATGTTGTAAGTATAAAATATACATCAGATTTTAAAGACTTAGTAGAGAAAAAAAAATGAAAACTATCTAAATAATTTTTACACATAAGAAGTTTTGAAATAATATTTTGGCAGATAAAGTACATTACTAAAATTTATTTCCTATTTTTCTTTTTACATTTTTAACATGGCTGTTAGAAAATCTAAGGGATGCTGTGTATTTCTATAGAACAGTGCTGGTGCAGGTGTAGCAGTGTCAGTTACTGTCATGATCAACTTTTAGAGAATGAGAGTTTATTAATAATCAACTCCACATGCCAGAAAATAAGATGTTTGGGGCTTTGCTTTATTTTTATTAGAAGTAATACTGTCAGTTAATTATTTGAGTTTTTTGCAGGGAAGGCAAGTAAGAAAACAGTAGAATATGCAGTAATTAATAGAAGTTAGTGAATGCACTAAATGTTCAGAGCCCTGCTTGAAGAAATTTTCCAAAACAAAAAGAAATGACAGACTACCTGACTAGGTTAGTAAACTTGAAAGTATTTTACATAAAGCGGAAAAAAGTCTTGAGTTTGCAGATTTACATCTTGGTAACATAGAGGTGTAATATGCACCAGTGGCAACACTTAATTGTTTCTGTTACTATCTAAATAGCCTTGAATAGTTTTTGCAGTTGTGACCTAATTCAGTTGTCCTGGGTTCTTTGAATAGCTGACAAATTTGTTTTATTTAAAGGGACAGCTTGAAATCAAACATTATGCACAGAGACATTCCACATAATAAAAACAAAGTCCTCAAAAAAGCATAAAGGGATTTTCTTTAAACCGTAAACCAAAATTGAAAGAAGTTTCTTGCATGTTTCTCTTTGTTATTCTTAATTCTATGGTTGTAAAGATTTTTTTTTTATTTGTTTGTTTAAATGCAGGAGTCCAACCTATACCTTCTCAGGGAGGAAAATTAGAAATAGCTGGCACTGTTGTTGGCCACTGGGCTGGGAGCAGACGTGGCCGGGGAAGCCGAGGGCCTTTCCCCCTACAGGTAGTTTCTGTTGGAGGACCAGCAAGAGGGTAAGTTCTGGCCATGCAAATGTTTTTTTTTTTTTTTTTTTCCTTTAAAAAAACCTCTTACTTGCTTTTTTCCATGTATGAATTTATTAATAATATTTGAATATCATTAAATACATTCTTCTTTAACATCATTCTTAACAGTTGCATAGGATTACATTATATAGCAGTGGCATTATTTAATTAACTAGGGGTCTTTTTTTTTTCACGTTTGGGAAAGTAGCATTTTTAAATTAAATGATTTTCAAGTTGAATGCATTTGATTTGAACAAAGCAAAACAAAAAAACATTGAGTCTTTGTAATAAGGTGCTTCTAATATACCATTTTTATATTACTTTAAATGTTGTATGTAAAAGATTTATGTATACTTACATTTGTCCATTTTTATTCATTTAGACGTCCTAGAGGAGTTATTTCTACCCCTGTGATTAGAACGTTTGGAAGAGGTGGAAGGTACTATGGGAGAGGTTACAAAAACCAGGGAACAATTCAGGTAATGTTATAACATACTGTTTGTACTGGTTCATTCTTAGGTGACCTCACTTTCCTGAGCTAGCACTCCTAGAATTTACATTCAGACAAAGTAGTTATTGGTGTACTTCTATAGCCATCAAGCATCTAATATTGTAACTCGCTCATACATGCTCAACATATGTAAATTTCTTCAAACCAAAACCATGCCCTTGTCATTTTTACTTAAGAGTGTATGGAGACAGAAGAACTAGATGCTAAGTACCCAGCTGTCACTACCAACCTTTCTAATCAGGGCCACAATAGGTGGACCCTGAAAGAATGCAAGAAAAATATGGAACAGACCCTCAAATTTCATTTAAAAAAAACACCAGTTTATTAGACTGGTTGAAACTGAAGGACTCCCCAAGACTGTTGCCCTGACATACTTCATCAAACCTTGAACTGAAACTGACTCCTGAGATCACTTGGTAGCTAAATAGCAAATTGGCTCAAAAAATGGTATCACTCATGAGTACTGTTTCTTTAAAAATATATATGAGACAAGATGGTCAGCAATTACTTTAAACCAAAGACAAGAATGTAAGGGAAACTGGATTAATGGAAACAGAGCAGTAAGAATGGAAATAATGAGAATGTTCACACTTTGTGAAGTATGGAACTAGACTAGTGGTTCTCTGAACAAATCAACCTGTGAGGAAACAAAGGCACATACCTATCTTAACTAAAGAGCATGCGTTTTCTTCTGCTTTGGATATACTTTGGGTGTATAATGTATTCATTATAGGACTTGAATCCTGAAGAATTTCTACTTGAGAAAAATCTTTATTTATTGTCTCACTTTTTGAATGATGGTATTTAATCAAAGTATATATTTTGTCCCATACTATACATATAAAGTAGGAGCTCTGGTAGCGTAGTGCCTAAGGCACTTGACTGTTAACCAGAAGGCTGGAGGTTCAAACCCACCAGCCACTCCTCGGAAGGAAGATTGGGCAATCTACTTCCATAGTGACACTGCCTCGGAAACCCAAGGAGAGATCGCTATGAGTTGGGTCCCGACTTAACAGCATATAACAACAACAGCATACATACATATAAAGGGAGCTCTGGTGGCATAGTACCTAAGGCATTTGACTGCTAACCAGAAGGCTGGCAGTTCAAACCCACCAACCACTCCTCATAAGGAAGGTTGGGCACCACACACTGGCATCAAGACATACTTATTATCACAGGAGTGGTCACTGTTTCTATTACTCTTCTGTGGCCAGAGATTGGGAAATATATATATACACACACACACGTACAAATAAGAGTTCTGTTTCTTCATACATACCTCACACAAGATAACATACTTTTGTTTTTTAACATAAAATACTTCAAGTCCATATTGATATTTCAAATTCAAGTTGAGGACTATAAAGCTTTTATTTGCCTCTTCTGTAGTGATACTGCCTCGGAAACCCAAGGAGGGCTCACTATGAGTCAGATCCAACTTGACGACAGTGAGTTTGGTTTGTTATACATATAAAATATTAAGAGTATGTTCTTAGGGCTCATATATTCATAACCATCATTTGGAAATTTAATTGGCAAAGAGAAAACAAAATTTCTATATTTACCAAGTGAACTTAACATCTTGGTAATCTTTTATTTTAATGAAATATGTTAAACACATCAAATACCATGACTAAGTACTTTCCTTGAAAGCAAGATCTAAGTTTTATTCTCTTTCTAGCACAATGTTTAGCAAGTAGTTGGTATTTAGTAAGTCTTTGCTTTCCTCTGAGCTACACTTTGACCTTGCTCAGCCCTTCACACAGAGACTCCATTTTAAGTTGAAAACAGTTTCACATTAAGTTTATGAGAAAGAAGAGAACACTGATCTTACTCTTCCTCCAACCGAAAGCCCGCTAGAGACCTCATTGTCATCCTTAAATATACTTAGGGGGCCTTTCCTGAGCTGGTTGTAGGGATTATGTCCACATTCCTTTAAAAAATTTATTTAATATAAAACACAGATGTAAAAACCTACAGAAAACAAATGTGTATAAGCTATATGGCAAAAAACTCATCCTCCAAATGATGGAAAAGAATGTTGCCACCCTCACCAAACATTCTTCCACATGCTGTATCCCAGTGTCAACCTCTTCCATCTTCCCAAAAGTAACCACTCTTGAAATCTTATACTGATCTCTTAGTCATCTCTTCTTTGTGTTTCTTTATAGTTCTGTCACTCAATTGTGAATCTCCACATACTGTAGTTGAGTTTTGTTCATTTTCTTCTGATATCTCTTTGAAGTCTCTTTTAATCTGTGAGTTTCCCTCCATCCTTTTCTTTTCCTTTCAGTTTATCTGTTGAAGGACCTGGGTGGTTCCATCTACAAACTTTTCTATTCTGGATTTTGCCAGTTGCACACTCATGGTTTAGCTCAGCATGTTCCTCTGATTTTCTTGCAAATTGGAGGCAGGATCTATATACTATGTTGGACACTGATTCGGTGAGACTGTAGTTAGTGGTGTACTAGTCTTCCATCAGGAGGCACACAATGTCTCATTTTTTCTTTTTATGATGTTAGTGTCTATTATTGCCTCAATGATACATCCATTAATTCATTGGAGATTGCAAACTGAAGAAATTCTAATTCCATAACTTACTAGACTGTTTTTATAAAGAGATGCTTCCCATTGCCTACTATAAGGTTACCAAGTGGTACTGTTCCTATAGAAAAGGCAAGATAAATGCATAATTCTTAAAGCTCATATTAGCCCAATTTGGTCAAATGAGATCCTCTTCAAGTTGCCTTCTGAGATCCCAGTAGTCTTTGATAGTAAAGGCCATTTTCCATAAAACCCCAGGTTTCTTTTAGTAGGAAATGGGATTTCAAGACCCCAAGACATACTTATTATCACAGGAGTGGTCAATGTTTCTATTACTCTTCTGTGGCCAGAGGTTGGGAGATGTATGTATATATATACACACACATGTACAAATAGAGTTCTGTTTCTTCCTACATAAATATTCACACACAACATAACATACTTTTGTTTTTTAATGTAAAATATCTCAAGTTCATATTGATGCTTCAAATTCAAGTTGAGGACTATAAAGCTTTTATTTCTCTCTTCTGTATTATATCTGTATGTCCTTTCTTTCATACCAAATCACCATTTCTGGACTTTTTCTGTGGACAGAGCTAAGAAGGCAAGACATGCATGTGTGCATGTGCATATATATACATATACGGTGCTTTTTTTTTTTTTTTTTTTTAAGTATCTCATGAGTTCATATACTTCCGGTTTAAATTTAGTAGTGTAGGATTTTTATTTAATCTGTATTATTTGTTCTTTCTTCCATTCTGAAGGACTCAGGGAATGATTATAAATTAAAATATCCTGTAACTAATAATTTTCTTTACTTACAGTACATACACAACAAGGTCAAAATAAGTATTAGTACTACCATCCCCAGTATAATTATTGTAAACGGTTATGAGAAAACTTTTGAATATACTGTCACTGTTCTCTTCTACAAGCCTTTGCATTTTTAAAAAATGTCCTTTCTCATTTTCCACTGATTCCATATTTGGAAATTTGCCTATTTGCTGAAAACACCTGGCTTTCATGGTAATTTGCAGACATGTGCATACAGAGAAAAGTGAACAATTCCCAGCTCAGGTCCAGCAAGACTGGTTTGGTATTCACAGGGACTTTATAGACCATAACTACCATGACTAACAAGAATTATTATGTTCATTATCTGAGCATATATCCATGGCATGCTATACTTTCCCTTTTAATGTCATTGAGTCTTAGTTCTAAAAATAACTGTTAATTCCCATCATTCCCATGGCACACTGAACCTATGTCTTTCTCAGGAAGGACTTACGGAAAACCATTTGTTTCCTTTAATAATTGTAAGCATTGGCTCACATTTAGTTATTTCTAGTGTCTTAAGTAATGTTTCATTCTTCTTATTGCATAAAGCATTTCTGTAAAGATGGATGATAATCTAATTTTCTTTTCCTTTGGAGTCATTTGCCTGAATATTTTAAAGTTTTTCCTTAAAAGTTTAGTAATTTTACTAGATTTTGGTTTGGCCTTGGATATTCTGGGTTGATACACTCAAGTACACAATGTGCTCTTTACAGATGTACTTTCAAATCTTACTTTATTTCAAAAACTTGTCTTCGGTTAATAGTTTTTAGTATTTGTTCTTTTGCTTGCTTTGTATTCGTTTTCTGGTACTCATGTTATTCCCATGTTGGTTCTATTTTGCCTGTCAATATTTTCCACACTCTTTTGATTCCTTTTTTATCTCTTTATTTCTACTTTTGAGATATAACTCACATACTGTAAAATTCACCGATTAAGAGGTTGTACCATTCATTGGCTTTTTATATATTTATAAGGCTATGCAACCATTACCACTAATTACAGAATTAATCATCAGCCCCAGAGGAAATCCTATACCCATTTAGTAGTCACCCCTGGTTTCTAGCAACCACTAATCTACTTTTTGTCTCTCTGGATTTACCTATTCTGTACATTTCATATAAATGGAATAATGCAAAACGTGGTCTGTTGTCACTGGCTTCTTTAACTTGGTGTAACCTTTTCAGGGTTTATCCATGTTGTAGAATGTATCAGCACTTCATTCTTTCCACTGTTTGTATGTTCCATATTTTATTGATTCATTCATCAATTTATGGACGTCTGAATAGTTTTTACCTTTTGACTGTTACAGTGCTTCTGTGAACATTGATTTGCAAGTTTTTGTGTGGACATATCCTTTCGTTTTTCTTGAGTACTTATCTAAGATTGGTATTGCTGGGAACTGCCAGACTGTTTTCTTCAGCAGCTGACCATTTTATAATCTTACCAGCAGTGTGTGAGAGTGCCAGTTTCTCCACATCCTCTCTAACATTTGTTTATTACAGCTGTTACTGTGGATGTGAAGTGATACCTCACTGTGGTTTTAATTTGCATTTCCCTGTCTTCATTTCTTTCTGGTTTTTAAAATTTTTCTTCATTTTCACCCTCTTTAGGATTTAAGGTATTGTATTCATTCTTGTGTTTCTTCTAGTTTAGTCTCCATTTCTGGAATGGTTCTTTTCTTTTTTATTTTGAATTCTTCCCTAAGTTCTTCTACCTCTTTTCTTTGTTTTTCTTAATTCGATTCATGTTGTTCTTTTATTCATATCATTTTGTATTCTTTGTATTAATATTCTAAATAGACATTTGAGTTGTTCTGATTTGGGACTGTCTTGAATAAAGAGTGAGTATTCTTTTCCATGTCATTTGTAGACATAAACACTTGTTTCTGTTAGGTCTACACTCAGACGTGGAATAGTTGGGTCATAGACAGTGTGCATGTTTAGCTTTAGAAGGCATTGTCAAACCTTTTCCAAAATGATTGTGCCAGTTTACATTTTCATGAACAATATAAGAGAGTCCTTTTTCACTTGCATATATTGTAATTATACAGTCTTCTGATCTGTGGGTTGCTATTTCACTCTTAATTTTAATGAAGCTCGACTTATCAATCTTTTCTTTTATAGTTAATGCTTTTTATATCCTGTTCAAGAAATATTTTCTATCTTCAGGTCACAAAGATAGGCACTTAATGTTTTCTTCTAGAAATGTGATGGGTTGATCCACCACAATTTAATTTTGAGATAGAGACAAGATTCTTTTATTATATGGATATCCAGTTGACTTAGCTAAGTTTATTGCAAAGATCATCCTTTCCTCATTGAAATGCAGTGACATTAGATGATCATATATCTTTGGTATGTTTTCTGCACGCTGGTAGCGTAGTACCTAAGGCACTTGACAGCTAACCAGAAGGCTGGTGGTTCAAACCCACCAGCCACTCCTCGGAAGGAAGATGGGGCAATCTACTTCTGTAGTAATACTGCCTTGGAAACCCAAGGAGGGGTCGCTATGAGTCGGGTCCGACATATAACAACAACAACAACAACAACATTCAATTCCACTGGCCCAGTTAACCTTTCTTGTGCCAGTACTACACTGTCTTAATTACTGACACTTTATAGTAAGTTTTGTCATCTGGTGTGTGTAAGCCCTTCAGCTTTGTCTTCAGTATTGCTTTTGCTGTACCATATCCTTTGCATTTACTTCCATACACAAAAGTCACCTTGTCAGCCTTTCCTCTATATTTTTTCTTGGTTATCCCCTCATTCTGTCACTTCACAGTTTTTCTCACTTTGACCGTTTTCTGCCCATTGCTGTGGCTCCCACTCTATTCCAGTCATCAACAGCTCATGCCTTTAGTGGCTCTCTGTTTCCTTTTTTTTCCTCTCTCCTGGCTCTACACTGTTTAATTCATTTTGTATGTCACTATTAGACTATTGACTTGTGTCATTGTCTCCCAGTCAAGAACCACAGCATTGAAAACCTAAACGCCTGACCTATATGGGATGTTTATAGGTAGGATCACTTGGCTCTCTTTCTTTAAAGAAAGAAAAAAAAAAAACCTCTTGCTAGGTGATTTTAATGCAGCCAGTTTGATGTTTGAGGATTGCTGCTCTATATTTTTTGAAGTAAGGAGATTTAACATTTGCATGTCACCAGGTATGTAACAGTTTTCAGTGTCAAACTTTATATCCATTATCTTTTTGTTTATAATAAAATCCTTTGCAGCCTGACTTATTACTGTTTTCAGAAATGGATGAACTGAGGCCAAGGAAGTAGTAGTAGCAGTGCTAGAATTCTCTTTGCTCTGCATGTATCTGTAGTGCCAAAGCTCTGGCCTCTTTCTTGCCCCTTACATATTTTGTACACTTGGGTGCCTTGTGGGCAACTTACTAATAGTACACCAAAACCACACATTGCCTGGTGTATGTAACATGCAACAGAAATCTTTGATTAACTCAGTGACTCAAATACAATTAAAGTAGTATTAATAGAGTAGAAGAAGCAATAGTTCATACTGTGCTTGTGGGTGCAAACAATGGTTGTGGCAGGAACTGCCTCACTGTGGCTAAGGCTGAAGGAGGGAACAGATTTTAGAGAGAGAGTTAATGTCTGTTTTCAAACAAATAAATCTGACGTTCTTTCTCATTCTTGCATCCCTCTATGGATGATTTGGTCAACAACCACATCTCCTTCTATGTCTTGTCCAGGAAGTGACTGTAAGGGAGGTTCCCCGCTCAGTCACCTTCTTACTACTCTTTAGTAAATGGGCCCGATTTTTTTTTCTTGCAACAAGCATCCATGCAATGGATACTATTATAGGTATTTATTTAGTTCTGTAAGTGTACTTCCCTGTGCTTGATTTCCCTGAGAGTGAGGGCTTTGAGGTTTAAACTAATACCATTGAAATTATTTTTCTACCCTGCTCTATTTTAATATTAATTATTTTCCCAAGGTTCCATAGTATAAATTATGCAGAAGTGTACATTAGTACTTCTGAACTCTAAAGTTGGAAATAGAATGAGAAGACATTGAGGGGAAATTGAGATCAGAGTTAAAATGTTTGATAGCTCCTGATACATAAGAAGTCATCCCTAAGGTGGAGTTAGCAAGATATAATTCCTCAGGGTCGAGCATGGAATGACCTTATTTTCACCAAAACAGATACCCTGCTTTTCAGAATAAGGACTAGAAGATGGTTTAAGCTGCCACCATAATTGCATTGAAAAGAGGATGGGACAAGGAGGTAGAAGTCTATAACCAACTTTACTTTCTGGGCTTCAATTTTCTCATCTAAAAAATGACAATTTGAAGGCAAAAATCATTAAGGTTTGTCTTCAGCAATGAGTCAGTCTGTGGTAGTGATTCTCAACCAAGGAGATTATGCCTGCCAGGGGACATTTGGTAATATCTGGAGACATTGTTGGTTGTAACATCTTAGGCCTTGGGAGAGATGAGGAATGCTACTGGCATCTAGTGGATACAGGCTAGGGAAGCTGCTGAACATCCTCCAAAGCACAGAACAGTCCCCACAACAAAGAATTATTAGGTCCAAAATATCAATAGTGCCAAGGTAAAAAAACTTTGGTCTGTTATAAAAGCAAACAAGATCTCAAACACTGTCCTTGTTGCTCACAGAGAAGGCCCTGTGAGGAAATACGCTGAGTTGGCCTCAAAATTCACTTTTTCCAGAGAATTATTTTTAAATCTGTTAAAAGGGATGATAAAGGCACCCATTCAGAAGGGAGATTTCACAAATATGAATGGTAATTATTAGTGCAGACTTGTTGATTGTTGAGATTACTCAAAAATTACTTTATTTGCTTTAATTCCTGTGTTGAGTGCTTCACACAAGCAGATGTTGGTCACTGTGTTCCCTTTTTGGGGAAGGGGGCAAGCTAAAATTTCAGAGTAGACTTACTGAGGGGCAGTTGTTATTTTAAATAGTTTGGTACAGTATAAAAAGATTAGATAGAGCTCAGTAAATTTGAGCCTCCTAGAACTTCATTTGCATTTTCAGGACATTAACTACAAAGCTGAGGAAAGGGATAATAGGAGGGTACTAACTGAAACAGTAGACACTTCTACCAATTGAAGATCAATCAGGGGCAAAGACAACATGAATTATAGTATGAATCAGAAACACAACTCTGTGCCTATATAAACACTTATATTTGCTCCAGAATATGTAGATGATATCATTAGGCCAAACTGGTGTTCTCTTTCCTAGTGATCAACAAAAGTTGCATTATCCTTTGTTTCCCTTTATCATAAACAGGGTAAACCTCCTTATGCTGCTTCAGCAGAAGAAGTGGCCAAAGAATTTAAGTCAAAATCAGGGGAGTCGAAGTCCTCTGCTGTGTCTTCAGATGGGTCCCTGGCTGAAAACGGAGTGATGGCTGAGGAGAAGCCGGCGTCCCAAATGAACGGGAGCACAGGAGGTGTCAGGGCTTGCACCCAGTCTGAAAGTGCCTTGAATAATGACTCTAAAATGTGCAATATAAATCCTCACTTAAATGCACTAAATACAGACAGTGTTTGCCATAAAGATGATACTCTTGAGGCAGCTGTCTTAAATAAAGAAGAGTAAACTTATTTTTTATAGAGGGTGAAGGATGTTGGAAGGGTAAGGATTTAGAAATATCTGGAAAGAAAGCCTACAGTTATGTACATTTTTTCCTTTCCGTAAGAGAAAAATGAGGACTTTGGAAATTCGGATCCCTCTTTGATATCAGAGATTTAAACAACACATTTTTTAGTTTTAACCAGTTGTAGTCAAAATGCTACAATAAAACAAAAAAGAAAGAAAGAAAATGAAGAGCATTTGACTCCCGCACTTAAAATGAAGTACACATAAAGTTTAAACTGGTTATGACAAAAGCCTATAGTGGTGTTTCTTGAACTATAAAGAAAAAAATTTTGGCAGTCTTTAAGTATATATAGCTTAAACTATAATTTTTAGCATTTGGCACCATATGTATGCCATTATATTTGATTTTTGCGTTACTGTTTCACAATAAAGCTTTGTTTAAGGCTTTGATTTTATGATTATGGAAAAAATAAGGCACAACCACAGTTTTTCTTTCTTTCTTAAATTTCATCACTGTTGATGTGGTTCTTTTGTGTTTAAAAAAAAAAAGTGCAACTATCAAAACTAAAAAATTATAGAGTAATATTGCCGTTCTGCTGATTTTAAATATACAGTACATCATACATACTTTACAAGCAAGATAAATGGAGATAAAGTTGAAATCATAGAAGATGCAAATGACCTTTCAAAATCAACACAATGTGTTCTGAAACTTTTTGTGACTAATACCATGCATCTGTGATCAATGAACTATGTGGTTTTGAATCGGACGTAGACCATTAGTACTACTACTTGAGCTAAACTTCTGCATGGTTCATAATTTTTAAAGTGTGTAGTTAATATTATGCATGTTCTTGTCCTTTCTTCCATTCTTACAAATATGTGCCCATTTGCAAAACAAAAAGCTAATAATCAGTAATAGTCCTATAAAAGATGTTAACTATGTTTAGTCATTGACTGATCTTGCTCTAACCTTAAAATTTTGTGATTATTGCCCTCTGTTGCATTTATTCTAAAACCCCCCCAAAAAATTATCTAGCTGTTTTGAATATCAACATTACCCTGGTGTATTCACTGCTGTATGCATTATTGTTCTTTGTTGCTGTTTTATGCCTTCATATTAGCAAAATATGAAATTCTGTGAAGAAAAAAAACCTTTGATCTTTTAAAAAAAAAAAAAAAAAACCTACTCCCCCCTACTGTAGCAAGAAACAAATTGCTTGTTCTTGAGAACTTTCCCATCAAGAATTTAGTAGAAGCAGGTATACTTATATCATTTTGATGTTTTTGTTAATGTTTCCAAACAATGTACTTTGAAATCAGAATCACTTCTTATTCGTTTTCATATAATTCTCCTGATGCTCTTCATCACACATTAGTGATCAGAAATGAGGTGTAATTCCCCAATCCCTGCCCGCAAGAGCTAAATAGGAACTTACTGTAAGTTGAAGGGAGTTTTGCCCTAACTCATGGATTGTGCAAGAATGAACTGCTGTTGGGTTTGATTGATCGTAGATGGATTGTGGTGTGGTGTATTTGAAGGCTATTGAATGCAACTTACAATGCTTAATAAAAATCTTTATTCTTTTAGTATAAGGTATAGTGTGGCTTTTAATTATAAAAATGTGCATTTTACTGCAGTTTAATACAAATTGAAACAGCTACTTAATAGCTTGGTCCGATAACGAGAATTTAGAAGTATTTTGCCCTTTTAAAGTATTTGTCAGGTTTCTAGAGCTAAAGAAAAATTACTACATTCTTAACATGAAAATGATTCTAACACTTATGTTTGAGTTTCATATTTAATTTTAATGCAACCAAAGGGATAGAAGGACATTCTCTTAGAATTAGAAAAAGAAATTTTACAAAAAACTCTGAAGGAGAAATAAATTTCATCCTGATAAAACCATGTTTTAAAAATCAGTATTTCATGTGTAACCTTTTTTTCATGTCATTAATTTTGACTTAAAGCTCTTCCCTGCAACTGATGTGAAATACGGCTTTATTTGTGTTGCCTAATTCTAGAAACCCCATAAATAGTACCACTGGATTCTGTTACCTTGATTTGTAGGCTCCCTTGTCAGTGGCAAATGCAGGGTGTGCACATGACTATGAACGAGGCCTTGCAGACATGGCCCACCCCAGGGGAATAGTGCTGAGCTCATCTATTCCAGAACCTACTGCCAGCTAGTCAATTCCGACTCACAGCAACTCCCATTGGGTTTCCAAGACTCTAAATCTTTACAGTAGTAGATTGCCTCATCTTCCTCCCACAGAGCAGCTGGTGGGTTTGAACCTCTGAGCTTCCTATTACCAGCCAAATGCCTTACCCACTATACCACCAGAGTTCCTTTATCTGTTCTAAAAGTCATCTAAAATTGAGAAGATTGGAACCACCATGCCTTCACTGCTTCCTTGTCTAGAGCTAGACATGGAACTATAAAGGAGTGGGCTTTGACTGGAGAAGGAAGGTTAGGGCAACTCCAAGAGTGAAGTGAAAGATGAAAGGATATTTGTTGCCTCAACAATAATTAGGAAAGAGTCTCAGGAATAGCCAGTGATATGCCAACGGAGGCTTGCCACCACTGGTTGCATTTACCTGACAGCCTGCATGGGCCATCAAGGGCAGCTCACAGACTCCTTGCACAGAATAAGTAGCACTAGGGGTATATGATGCAGGTGCCTGTTGTCTTAGTGTTTATTTGGGAGTGTGTTGTCATGCTAGGGAGCCCAACTGATTTTAAAACTAGTCGTCACCCATCACATCTGTCCACAGACCACCTGTCTGCTCTGTATTGTGTTAAGTGCTGTATGTGCTTTCTCCTTTACTACTCATCGCAGCCATGGTCGTCTTTTCCCCTTCTCATGTGTTCCTTGCCAGCGTGGAGCTGGCAGAGATGCTCTTGCCTAGCTGATCATGAAACCAGTGTTCGGAACCACAAAGAAATCCCCTTAGAATTCTCATAAACCACCAGGTTGTGCTCTGGGGACAGGCAAAGAGACCTGGATGAGACAGCTGGCCCTGCCCAGCTTTGGGCCACTAAGATAGGTAGGGGAGCAGGCTTGCTCTGAACACAGAAAAAATGGAGGCACAACGAACACTGTGGGCAGTAGGACATGTCTTCGGCTGGGCTGGAGACCTGCTTAGGGTGCCATACTAAAACCCCACAGGCTGCTCTGGAGTGGACTGAATACTCTTCAAGGCAGGGTATTTCATCTAGACCATGAAAAACAAAATCCTGAAGGCCTAACTCCACTTCTTAGGAGTCCCATTCTAGAGTGACCAAAATGTCTCTGTCACTCGTACTCAGTGTTGGGTAAGGTAAATACTGCCACATTTGGCCCCTTGTCTCCCATTTCTAGGCTTAATAAAGACTTTGGACTTTGCCCTCCCTTCTGTTAATATATACCTTTAAAGGTAGGATGTAGTAGCATTGATTGAGATTACCTCTCTCAATTACCTTTCAGGCTTCATATTTTTTTCATTATTGCCAGTGTCATTCTCAAAAGGCATACAGACAAAAATTACCCTTTATTGAGGGCTAATGTGCCATGCAATGGATAAGTGTGTCACCAAATCCCATTTCTGAATCCTTTTACCCCACCCAGAAATGAGCCCATTACATGTGAGCATACTTTGAGCCTCTGGGCTTGTGGACTGGTTAAGCTTCTTGGGTGGGGTCTGAAGGGTGAATCACACCTAGCACTGACTGAGCCATTTCCTTTTATCTTTGGTGAAACTCCCTAGACCTGTGTGGAGATAGCAGCTCACTGTACAGGATGTGCTGTAGAATTTTAGAGGAGGAAAACAACCATTCCTTCTTTTTTTTTTTTAGTGTGGTTACTTCCATTCAGGTACTTCCAAAATGGTAGAGTTTTGCAATTTCTTGAAATAACCTCTGATATAGATGTGCCAGAGGTATTTTTTCACTGGTTTCAGAAGAAAGCAAAGTGTGATACAGTTCACATCTTTTAAATGTATATTTGCCCAGTGCACTTGTTAAGGTGAACTGAAGGAATCCTGTTTTCAAAAGAAAATGTACATTTTGACAAAATTACACATACATTCTCTGATTGTGTTAACAAAGTATTGTTGCTGCCATTCTGTTACATGAAGTTATAAGATTGCCACCTTTTTGCATTTTCACTAGATTTACAAGACATGAATGTTACTCAGCACTTTGTGTCATTTGAAATGCTATGTGCCATTAAGTTCCTTTTAGCTAAATGTTTATTTAAACTATGCACTGCTGAATTTTGCATGGTATAATCTTGTTTTATTGTAGTTTTTCAACATACACTTGATTTACACGGTTGGGAGAGACACACATGCATTCTCTGATGGAGTGTGGTTACTGCCATTCAGGTACTTCCATACAATAGAGTTTTTTTTTAATGTATGCTAATGAGTCCCAAAGTCACTTTAGGGCTCCCAACCTGCATTTTCTTTCTTTTCTTTTCTTTTTTTTTTTTGATTGTGATTTGGGTGAAGATTTACAGAGCAGATTCACTTTCCATACAGCAGTTCACATGCACTTTGTCCCATGAAATTGACCACAGTTTACCACAATGCAACAGCAACCATTCCTTCTTGTGCCTCTTTTTCCCATCCCTAAACTCTGCTCTGGTAAACCACTTTGGTTTCCCTAACCATTTTTCACTCATGGGGTTTTGAGCACTGCCCTCCCTAGTACTTGGAGGTAAATGCACCTCTTGAAAGATGGAGCCGCTGGTGTGACACCCTCCTGTCCCTGTGGTCTGCCTCAATGTCCATAGTTGACAGTGTCCACATGATCAAGAACTGCTGCGTGTTACCAGAAGAACTACATGGTACACGGCCACCAATGCCAACTGCTTGGAAGGGGGGGGCGGGGGAAACTGCTGAGTGTCTCAAGCACCTGCTATGCCTTTGACCCACATGATGGGAAAGCAGTGGGCAGCCAGGAAGAGTTTTACAATTTACAAAGATCACATTCCAGGAAGGACTGGTCAAAAAGCTG